TAAACAGATCACTAAGAAAGCAAAGAAAACTCCAGTATAAACTGTCCCCAAAGCAGCTGATTTAAAAGAACAGTAAGGACAAAATAGTGACCTAAAATTAATATTAGTTTAAGCTACCCAGTGCTTGAAGGGCCTGGAGAAAATGAGAATGCCAAAATAAGAGAAAAATTTCTAATTGAACCAACTCTACAACTCAACCCCCCCTCCCCTAAACTACCAGCAAACTTAATATGCCCCCTCACCAAGCTGTAAGTTAATACATACTCATCACAAGTCACAACACAGTTATCAGAAAGGATGAGATAATCAGGTAGATAATAAGATAATGTTGTTCTATATGGTTTATGGGATGGCTCTCATGAAATAACCCCATTGAGATTACTTTGGGGAACCACAGACTGAATCAGAAACACTTCTTATCTGACATATACTGTAAAGGCAAATTACAGTGTCTCCAAAGCATCTTTCACAAGCAAGCAGAACAAGTGAAATTCAAACCTCTGATCACTAAAACTCTTCTGGAGATTATCACATTAACCATTTTCCCCAGGAGTACAGTTAGGAATTACCTGTTAAGTGTTAACATGGTCCTTCTCAACTCTTCAACTTCATTTTGAGCTTTTCCAACCTCAGATTTATGAGCACTTAATCTGTCTTTAAGATGTTGCTGCTCCTCCACAATTTCATTCACTTTTTTTAGAAGCTCCTTCTCAGTCTGCATAGAAACATTTACATTTGTAACCTTCCACTATTATACAGACAGAAACAGTAAAGTTTAAATGTATTACAATACATTCAAATGTCTTAACAGCACAAACTCAGAAAGTCACTGGGAAAACAGCATCTCTTATACAAGATCTGTGTGCTACTCTCTCTTCCCCAGTTACCCCCTCAGCCCTGCAAGAAGGATCTCATCTGCTGTACCACTCCAACGTTTTTAGCAACACCTCCAGCAATCCAAAATCCTTCTCAAAGTGTTGTTCAGTAAAGATAAATCCTGAGGTAACCAACAGACAATAAAAAAATCTGTGTAGGTGCTCTAGGGAGTGCTGTATATAACCCCCTGCTAAGTGGCCAGAACTTAGTTGCTAGAATATAATAAACCTAACACTACACACACAAAGACATGGTCCTTAAGAGACTATGGCAACCTAAGCAAGACTTACTGCTGTTGCAGTATCCAAAAGAATCTTCACAATACAAAAAATCCTCTCCAGGACAAAAAAAAAAACCCTGAAGTTGCTCAGTCATATTTCAGAAGAATGCACCCAGGCATGAAGGTGTGACTGAGTAAGAGTCACTTGTTTTCCTCAGTATCAGAAGTACATGAATGTTAAAATACAGGGTTCAAATGATGCATGTGTGTTGTGTTTTAATTCCCCCCCCAACTCTGGCCAGTTGTAAATTTAATTTTTATTTTATTTCTTTTTTTATTCAAGATACTGTTACTTACCTTTTTTTCCTCCACTTTCCAATGTACCACAAGCATAATTTATTTAACAAGCAACATGAACACAACAAAAAATTACTTATGAATAAAGAACACTATGAAGGAGGATCCCATACATATTCTACTAAAAAAAATAAATTAGTTTTCATAGAATTATTTTAATAGTGGTTGTGAAGTACCTTAAAAATGCAGAACACCACAGCTGTTTACTATTACTCATAAAATCTTCAAAAGAAAAAGCTACTGGCATGTGGCTGAGATTATCTGTAGTCATATGCTGCCTTCTCCTATAAACACCACGTAACACTGTACATACAGTAATCCCTAGTTTTCAGTAAGCTTATTTTTAATAATTAATAAGTACCCAGATATGACAGGTTATGGCAAGGTTAAAAGGACAATGTGCCACTGCATTTTTTTAACATTTACAAAGTCAACACTGAATTAAGCTCTAGAAGGATTACTCAACAGCATCAGCTATGCTTATTCACATTTGTAATTCAATGCATTCTTACCTCTCAGTCCCAGATAGAGAGAGAGAGAGAGAGAGAGAGAGAGATGTACCTTACAATCTTTACAAACTTTACCTTCTGTAGCCTGACAATCTCAGCTTCATCATTGTGAATGGTCTCCCTCAACTTGCTGACTGAGCTTATTGATTTTTGCAGATGGTCACGATTATATTCCAGCTGAATGTTTAGTCTGGTCTTCTGATTTTCAAACTCCAGTCTAGTCAAAGTTAAGTATTTCAAAGCAACACTTACAAAGCAGGCGAGCAACTGTGATTTTAAGCTTCCATAAGATACAAAAATGCTACCTAAATAGTGGCAGTGAAAACAGATCTTCCACGTGAACACAAAAATTTGCATCATTTGGCTCCATTAATTTGCATCATTAATTCCACTCCAGCACATGCTGTGGATATGAAATCCCTTCAGCCAGCAGGTGCTTTGAATGCAACTGAATGCACTGCACCAGGACCTCACTGCAGCCCTAGCCAAAACTGGGCATTTGGACTGGTTTCTGGACACCACCAGTCAGAGGGTCTCTCAGCAGCTGAAGAGAGGGCTGAAAAGGAAATGGAGTTCAGTGCTAAGCACTGCACTAGTCACAGAGGTGTATTTTCTATAAAGAGTGGCAGGAGATGCACCATCACCTGCCTGGAACCCCCTGCAGTACAAGGAGAGACATTTCATTCTAACATTCTGCTCTTGAAGAGACAGATTTGTGGTCCTGGGATGTGCCTGTTTGAGGGGAACACCCAAGCTGAGGTTGCCTGGGAGAAAATTAAGATCCTGCTTTGCTTAATAACATGTTCCTTTATCAAATCACTGCATCTTACACCCAAGTCTTAAGACTTTAGATAAATGAGTGAGCCAAGGCATGACAGAGCCATTTTTCAATGTAGATTTTAGAAAACTACTCTTTGCTTTATTTTTCTGCAAGTGCTACTAAAATAGTCAATTTTACCTTTCAAGTTTGCTGCAAAATGTCACTGACTCTAATGCTCTAATGAACCCAAACCAAAGCAGTGCAACTTCTAATTAACTTCTAACTAACTTCTAACTAATCCTTGCAGTCATAAAACAACCTTTTACAGTCTTCTACATTTTTGTGGCATTTTTTGTCCTGGAGTCACTTATTTAGCAGTGTGCCCAATCTAATACAAACCACTTTTTCACATTTCAATTACAAATATCACCTTCTCTTATCAATCTCCTCTTGTTGTCTCACATGTTCTTGTTCATACACACGAATATTTTCTATACCTATTTCTTCACAGAATTCCTGGAAAACAGCATCTTCAGCCTTTCAATAAAGAGAAATGGAGAAAAAAAAAAGAATGTTTATGCTACTTTGCAACTCACAGAAGTAAAACATTTAGACAACCACTTCATGCTACAGTCTGGATTTTCAGGCTACTTTAAGAAACAGCAAACTGAACTACTGAGAAATAATCTGTATCTGAGATTTTTGAGTAACATTTTCAGTAGAGATGCCAGATACAAGGTGTATGATCTGCAAAAGGTTAATTTCAAAGACAAAGTCATCACAGTGTAACCAACTTCCTTGCCTTTGTCTATTGTTCCCAGTCAGCTGCAGAAGAGAAAGTTGAATGGTATACAGGACAGGAATCAGATATACCAGGTTTCTTTTGTAGTTCAGTTCTGCATTTTAATCCTTTCAGGTGATTCATAAATATTAATTACTATGTTCCATTTACAGAAAAAAAAACCTGCCAGAGAATCTCTCATTTCCTTATTACACAGTATATACTAAAAAAGCTTCAGTCAAAGCCAGTCCTAAAATTTTAATGACAAATGTAAGCAGGCAGGTACTAGTGTATGCTGTATATGGCAGGACTGAACACAGAAACAGCAACGACCTACAGCATTTAAGAGGAAACTCAATGGACTGAACAGAATTTTTTAGAGAACTTTACAGGTCAAAACCCAATAGTGTGTACATTGGTACACAGGCTTGTTTAAGCCAGATATCAAATACTACATCAAATCAAGTTGTACTATTTGAGTAACACTGTTCTTTGGAAACTGATGAGCAGCCTCCTCTTTTTTTTGCCAGAACAAGCTGACGAAAACTTCCCTGGATCTGGAACTCTTACAGCCTAAATATCACTGATTTCCTCAGTGTCTGCAGATGATAGACATCTGCACTCCTTCAAGCAAGGCTGAAAACACACAGCAGTTCTGCCTTCTATTTACAGGCAGAATCCCAGTCATAGATTAATCCAAGAAAGATGGGTCAGGGGCCAGGAACTAAATCACACACGTACTATACACCCCGAGTAACTGCAGAAAGTGGGGAGGAATCTCTCTAAGAATCTACATTTACACAACCATCTGGGTGCAGGGCTGTGAGTTTTCCATAGTCTTCCATAGATATCTTTGTTTGGTCAACAAAGCATTTTAAAAGAGTTAGAAGTTGTGCAAGTTCTAAAATCAGCAGAAGCAGGAAGAAGTTTCTGTAGTATGACAGCACAAGCTGTCACAACTATGGCAGAAGGCATTACCTCATTTATTTTTTTCTGAAAGTCTTCTATTTTTTCTTTCCTTTGAGCTACTCCTTCCTTCAGCATATCATACTGAGACTCAATATTTAACAGTTCACTCTCCAGTTTTGATTTTTCCTAATCAGAAAGAAAGAAGTTGGTCATTTTTCCTAATTGAATGATCCAACAGTCTAGAAATTAAGAGACAGTTCTGTTCAAGATTAACTGTATTTTTGTGATGGAAAACATTAAATATTTTTTTCTCAAATGTACATTACTCTATAATCTTGGTTTTTTTTTATATTTTATTAATTTTTGATGTATGTAAAACTTAAATTAGAAAAACTATGCGAGGAAATATTGCTTCACCAGTAATTACAGCTTAGGTAAAAAACTCCAATTATTAAAGGTGAAAATGATAAAGGCTTAACACTTTACTGCATAGATATTAGCTAGATGTTTCTTTTTAATGAGCTCTAATTCACTCTGTGAGTATTTAAGACGTGTCTGGATCCCATGGCAGTGAGCACGCAGCTGCTTCAGCTCAGGCTCCTTACGTCTGACCTTCATTAAGTCCTAGAAGAATATCACAACAGGAAAAAAAGCATTGTAAAACAAAAGGTGGAAATTACTCACTTTCAGATCCACACACTACATAAAGGGGTCTCCATTCAAGGTAAATGCTGACAGGATT